GCCTTCTGCTGTACCACTCTCTATGGCAGGCTCAGCCCCTGCCCCTGGCCCCTTCCTGCTTTCCCTCCTGCCACCTTCTGGGATTTGATGCATCCTCTTCCCCTCGGCTACCTACTCATAGCCTGGCTCCTCGGGAACCCCATCTTGCTGACCTGCCTCAGTGGTAATCCCTTCCTCTCTGTTTGACAGGATCCTGAGACACTCACATCCTGCTTCTTCTGGAACTCGGGTGGTACCTGGATCAGACTCACCTGGGCCTCAGAAGGGACTTCGACTTTGGCTTCCTGTGAAGCCTTCTTTTCTCTTACAGATACAGCTGTCAGTACTTTGCAGACTCTCAGCTCCCATAGATCTTACATTTTACCTTTTGATGGTACTAAATATTTTCTGACTTAAAGTGATTAGAGTATCTTCAGAAAAGATTGTGCGGTTTTCCATGCCTTCAAGAGAGCAAGCTTTTTCTACATTTTATTCTATACAGCATCTAGCATGAACATATTGCATATAGTAACCCTCTGAAAACTGTTTTGTACTGACTTAAGAAACCATTTGCTGGAGAATCAAAGTCCACAATCCAGTGGACTGACTGCTGTAGCCACAGTCGGCCTGCTCCCCAACCTGGCTGCGTAGGATGAGGAATGGCTCTCCCAGAGGCCCAGCCAGGATGAAGCAGAGCATTTCAAGAGAGATGTAGGAAAACAAGCAAGATAAACACGGGCTGGGAACAAAGATTGAAAAACCGTGCCTTAGAGGCAAAATCACTGGGTATATTTATTTCAAAGAAAAATAGCAATGTGGTGATGATTGATTGATGAGATGGTTTAGTATTTATGATCTCTGTTCTAAAGTGACTTACATCTCTGGCTGTCAGTTTGGGGGTTGGGAGGGAGTCAACTTGAGGATGGTAGGGTCTGAAATTCTGATTTCTGACTTCTAGGTTATGGGCAACTACAAAACAGAAGGAATGCAAACTCGGGAAAGGTGCTGGAGGCACATGGTCACTCGGAACAAACCTGCACCCTGAATGAGATACTTGTGTCCTTGAACATTTATTTCTCTCAAAAGGGCACCCCTAGAGTCCTAAAAGAGCAATGAGAATGGTAAACACAAAAGAGAAGGGGAGATGAAGGGTTTGTATTTACTTGACGTGGAAGAAAGAGCCCTGAAATTTTTTTTTTTTTTTTGGTGAGGGAGATTGACCATGAGCTAACATCTGTGCCCATCTTCCTCTAGTTTATATATGGGATGCCACTGCAGCGTGGCTTGGTGAGCTGTGCATAGGTCCAAACCCGGGATCTGAACCTGTGAACTCCGGGCCGCTGAAACAGAATGTGCAAACTTAACCACTAAGCCACTGGGCTGGCCCCTGAATATTTTTAATAGGATGAAAATTTTAAGTCCACAACTTTTCAGAAGTGATATGCCAATGTCCAAACTCATGTTTTCTATTTCTGTTTTCTAGGGGAGAGGGATGGGATACAGAGAATGGAAAGAAAGTGCTCCTGGAAGCCCACTCTTGTGTTTGTTGAAGAGGTAGTGATATATCCCATCATCCCGTGGCTCTCATAACCTACCTGTGAACTTTATGCAATTTGGGGGAAAGAGGAGTAAGAGAGCAACTAACTCAGGCCTCAGGAAATGGTCTACATACTGCTTTGCCCTCCCATCTTCTTCTCTTTCTCAGCAGATGGCAATTATTTTCTTCCAGATGCTCAGGCCAAAAACTTTAGAGTTATTCCTAACATTTCTTATATCCTGTATACAATTGATCAGCAAATCCTGTTGGACTTGTCTTAAAAATATGTCTGGAGTTTAATCACCACTCATCAGTTCCACCCCTGGGACCCAGGGCCAGGCAGCCCTGATCTCTTGCCTGGATTGCACATCAGCCTCCTTACTGTTCTTGCTTCTAACTTGCTCCTTACAGTCTATTCTTAAAACAGTAGCCAGAGGGATCCTGGTAAAAAGACAAATCATATCCTGCCTCTGCTCTGCTTGAAGCCCTGCAATGCCTTCCATTTGGCTCACTATATGAGATAGTTTTCTTCCAGTGGCCGACAAGGGCCCTCAGGTTCTGGCCCTACTCTATTGCCTAGTCCTCTCCCTGCTGTTCCTTTTTTTTTTTTTTTTTGTGAAGAAAAGCATACGATTTATTAACCCAAAATTCAGAAGAGTAATTATCTCTAGAGAGAAGATGGGAGGACATAAAAGAACACACAGAGACTCTAAGAGTTAGTGTTACTATTCCATTTCTTAAACAAGGTGGTGGAGACATGTTTTAATAGTTATTCTTTAAACTGTTCCTTAAACTCACTAAATATGTTGCTGCTTTAAAGCCTTTGCTGTTTCTTTTGTCTGTCACATTCCTCCTTCAGATATTTTTATTGTTTACTTCTCATGTCAAAGCTCTATGGATTCAAATATCAACTTATCAGTGAAGTATTTCTTGGCCACCCTTTACAAAACATCAAATACCCCTCCCTAGAGTCTCTATCCCTCTTTCCCTACTTTATTTATTTCCAGAGTACTTAGCATCTGGCATACTACTCATTTATTTTGTGTTGTCTGTTTCCCTATTAAATATAAGATCCTTTAGAACTCTTTGTTTGTTTTGTTTATCATTATATCCTCAGCACTTGAAAGAATGCCTGGCATGTTTTCAGTACTCAACTAAATAATGGAGTAAATAATTGCCCATGAAAATGATTGAGTTAGGGACCTATAAAACTAAATTCTGGTACAAGAAATTAAGCAAAGGAATAAGGAAGAGAATTTCCTGTTAATGAAAGGTGTTCAATAAATTGGAACATGCTAAGAAATACCAAGGAATCTCTACCAGTCTTTAAAAGGATCAATGATTGTTTTTAAAGTTTCATGACCTACTGTTCAGAAATTATCCCAACATAAAATTTTAATTCTGCAAATTTTAGCGGGTTTTCTTCATAAATCTGGAATTCTTAGGTGATGATGAGTCCAGACTAGGGAATTAGGGATCAGGATCTCCATAATTAAATAAGATGGCCTTCAAGTCTTGTTGAGCAGCAGTTACATTTTTCATAACGAGTCTGAGCGGATCAATGTTGATGGTAAAACCATCAATACTCGAACGAATGATGTGCATGTTGCCTCTGCAGCAGCTTACGGTTGAGTGAAGGGCACGTGGCACAGATATAAGGAAAATGAGGATGATGAGGGCTCTGTTTTCACCAATTAGTACAGTTGGAAAGGGAATCTGGTTCCACTAATTTCTTGATTTTCCGCAGTTTCCACAGAGTTCCAGACCACAGATATCTGGAAATAGGAGGTCAATATGAATAAACAATTTAGAAATTCCAAACACGTGCACTTTAAAAGGTTATTTGTTCATAGGTCTTGTTGAAATGGTGGAATGACTTGCTGTACTCAAAAAGCACTCTCTGTCTTTTTTTAATTTAATTTTAATGTGGAAATTTTCAAACATACAATTAGAGAGAATATGATAACGAGCCACCATGAACTAGTCATCCAGCTTCAACACTTTGCCATTCTCAGAACCCACTTAAGACATCTACACTTTGCGCTTAATAAGACTCTGCATTCCTGTGTGAATAGTAGATGATTACATCCTGACAAAACAAAGGCACCATGGCCGATTGAAAAGTCAACTGCATAAAAAATGATTACATCACTCATTGTGACACATATTTGCTTTCTTTAAAAACAGTTTTCCTAGTTATAAACGAGGTATCAGTCATAGGTTCACATCCAAAGAACTACAGCTTGGTGGCTTGTTTTGCTGACTACAAGAGAAGAGGATGGAAGGTGAATCCTCAGATGAATTAGATGCAGGAGAGACTAAGAAACCTTAAAAAAATCATTGTAGTTTATATAGATGGATTATTTATGATAATGAATGTATAAAGTATGACCATTTCAATCGGAAAAAATGTGAGTTTTTAAATGACAAATAGAGAATTTAAAGGATTAAAGAAGTTGCCCTGGAAGGTCCTGGGCCAGAACATACTTAGTGTAACTCCCAGCTGTGGGCTGAACAGTGTGATGACACGGTGTCTAGGCTGGTCATAAAACTGTCAGCATGCTTCCTTACACAGCTGGTTCTGGGTCTGGGTCTGATGGAGTCAGAGAATAGCAGTAAGTCAAAGGTCAGAGATGGTGTGGTTGCTTTTTATGAACAGATCTTGGAGCAATGGCTTTTGTCTGTATTCTATTTGCTCTGCTTGGTATCTTTAAAGGGGAGGCGATCTTATGGCAGTATAGTAGCTTGTGAAGCAGTTATAGAACTGATTCACTTTTAAGTAAGGCCAGGTTGTTGAATAGCTTTTCAGCATTTCCAGGCTTATATAGTCAAAGAATAAGTTATTACTCTATAACAATCAGCCAAGATTTAATACAGTTTTACGGAATTGTAAATTGGCATAAAAGCAGACCTATTTTCAGATAACCAGAGGGATATTCATTTTATTAAGTCCTAATAGTTGGCACAGAAAATATATTTTGTTATAACTTACAAATACTGTTTATACAATTAGGTAAAGATTTTTTTAAACTAAAAAATTCAAAGTGAAAGAGGGAAACGTTTATCACAAAATGTTCACATTTGACTATCTGCAAGATTTTTAATATAAAAGAAAATATGTAATAAGACGCAATTCGTCTGTTATAACGAGAGCATGGGAAGCTGTGATGAAGATGGGACATATATTAACAAAGGTTGAAATGTTAATTAAACAATATAAATGATATTATATCTCAGTAAGATTTTTAAGCTACAAAACTATACAAGGAACTTCATTATAGCAAGAAATTTCTCAGAATTAAAGTAGGAAAAGTTTTAATGAAACAAAAACCCAAAGATTTTCCAGTGGGGCTTGAAGCTTAATGATGAGGCTCATAATCCTTCCAGCAACAACCTTCTTTGACTTAGGGAGTCTAGATGTATAGACTGCCTGTCGGCATGTGGTACTGTTGGAAACTCAGTGGGCTGGAGTGAGCACATCCGGGTTCTAGCCCCTGCTGTGCAACTTATTGTGGGAACTTGGTTGGGCCTTGATTGTATAAGATCTAACGATTTTTAAAATTCTGTTTGATTTCTAAGAAATTTTGAGCTCTCCGAACGGAATTTTCTCTGCTACATTCCTCGTTGCTTTCCTTCTGCTACATCCTCACTTTTTGTCATGCCTTCTGACTGTCACTACTTAGGGCCTTAATGAAAGGTTTGGGGGAGCTATTAAGTGATTTTTGGCTGGGGACCCAGAATGTCCAAATTCTGCTGTCCAAACACCCCTTCTTTCTGTGGATTTCTCAAGGGAAAATTATAAAAGGAAATTGAATACTTAAAAAAAATATCGAAGATGCTTATCTCCCAAACTCTAATGTAGTGCCCTTAGATTCCCTGAACATGGCTTAGATCTGAAATCTTTTCCTCCACTTAAACCCAGACCTTAAATCTAGCTCCAATTAAGTACATGAAGATGAAACAATGGAAGTGTCTAAATGCTCCTGATAAAAAGAGAAGAGGAAAAAAGTAAAGTGATTAGGTTTTTCTACTTGTGGAATTTATCATCAACTCAGTTTAAAGAGTCATGATGACTTTTGAACAAATAACAACCTTGGTCACAAGTGAATGCAGTTTGATCAGTGTTCTGGAATCTGACCCCATCGGATTGGAGATTCTGTTTCTTGGAAAAGGTGGGAGTCGTCTAGATATCTTTGCACCCCTTACCATTAATCCTGCCCAAATCCAGTGGAGAGTATACTTAAATATAATTAGTGGTCTATGTGCTTCTGGGAGGGCTGAGAAAGCTTCTACAAGACTGGCCCTCACAGATAACTATAAACTCTGGGAAAAATACAGAGATAACCACACAAAGACACTGGAGAACAAACAAAGCAGGCAGATTCTGGAGGGAAGTTAGCATCTGGGCAAAAGCAGTGATACAAGAAGTTTCCTGAATTTTATGGATTGTAGGCTGAGGGCAGCCTCCAGTCGCTGCTGCATGAAGTGACTAAAACTCTTACAGAAAACTTGCAGTCCTGTTGTCTAGAAGACAGATTTCAGGGCAACCAAAAGCCATTGGAAAGTGAGGGGGGAACTGCTGCAAGGAGAGAACCAGAGAGGGAGGAAACACAAATTCTGTGTGTAAACTTTGCCCAAACCTCTGGCTGATCCCCGAATCCTGCATGTGCCTGGTAAACTGCAGGCAGCCCACTTAAGGATTAAAAAACTGAACAAGATTTGAGCTGCTTCTCAAGACATAGAATTTATAACTTTAGTCCAACCAAGTTAATTGACTTCTAAACCAAAAAATCAATACTCATTGGAGGAGTATAACAGAACTCAGTCTCCACAACTTAACATTCACAATGTCAGGCTACAATTCAAAAGTTGTTGTCAAAGAACAAGAAAATGTGTACCATTCCCAAAAGAAAAGACCATCAATGGACGCTGACCCTGATGTTGAAAATAGCAAATAAGGATTTTAAAGTAGCTCTTATAACTATATTCAAAGACATAATGGAAACTATGCTTGAAATGATTGAAGAGAGAGAAATTATCAGCAGAGAAATAAAAATTTTTACTAAGAACCAAATGGAAATTCCAAAACTGAAATATACAATATCAGAATTAAAAAATTAAGCAGGACAGAGATGACAGAAGAAAGAGTTGGTGAATTTGAAGATAAATTAGTAGAAAGATTAATGTCTGTACACTTAATTACTCACAGAATTTACTAGAATCTTATATCTTCATCTCCAAACCATGACTTAAAAATCATCGCAGAACTAATATTAACTTCACTGCCTTAACTGGAGAACGTGCCTTGTCATTCACTTGTAAAGAGAACTGTAGTGATTCAAGAGAAACTTAGTGTAGTCAGCATATACCAATCAGCCAGTTAACTAGAGGTTAATATCTATTTCTCCTTATGGTAAAATCATTTGAGTCCTTTTAGGATTTTAATAATTAACTGCTTTAATTGTCATGGATGTTCATAAAATCCAAGCATTTTCCCATTAAAACCCCCTATAATACTTAACTTTTAGCTCTTGGGGTATTTTACAGTAATTAATCCCAGGTAATAACAATAGCTGAACTTTTTTGAGCACTTATGTGCAAGGTTCTGTGCTTGGAATTTACATCATGTACGCCTCTTAAGAAGTAGGTGTCATTTTAATGCTATTCTTAGACACGAAGAAACTGAGGCTTTGTAATGTTGCTTTGCATATGTTGTCACATAGCTAGTAAATGGTGATGTTGGGATTTAAACCCAAGCTCTTTGAAGTCAAAGGCCATGTGTTTAACCCTTGTGTTACAGTGCCTCCCCAGGTCTTATATCTTTTGTAATCAGAGCAGTCACAGTAGCAATAACAAGACTCTACAACTTTTAATACCCATGAATTAAAGCTGTGTGTCTTTAATTATAAATGAGTCTAACCTTTGTCAGTTATTTAAATTTAGTCTACACCAGTGCCTTCCAAAAGCTAAACATTTAATGAAGTGTGGCTAATGACTATAAAAAGTACTTGTCTTCATAATGTTTATACATTGTCTCAGTGTGAACCTGGTTCAGGATAAACAGAGATTCTTGCACACTTTATCATCTCCAGGTTATCTGCAACAATGCTTCTTCTGATCTCAGGGCTACAAAATACATTAGTTATGATGATTAATCCACAGTGTATTCTGAAAATATAAAGTAACTAATAAGGATTTCATGTTCTAATAAATTTTAATTAAATATACGTAATGGGGCCCTTATATGCTCTTGTGAAAAGAACTCTGAGACTACTTTGGTTTATTTGTTTAAAAATATTTTAATTTTCTGTTAAAATAATCTGTGGCATGTTTTAAAAAGTCAATAGTCTTTAAAATGTAATAAATACCAGTAGTATCATGTCCCTTTTCTTCCCACCTCTCAGCCCATTTTCTAGAAGTCAATTCTTTTAACTCTTTTAGCTATTTTCCCTGGCACTTATTTATTATTCTGAATAATAATGATATTTTGCTATTTTTTGAATTTGTTGAAAACATCTTCTATTGAACTTATCCCATCAATGGAGAAGAGCTATCTGTGTGTGGCTGTTTGGGGTGAGATAATAAATTTCTAAAAAGACAGATCATGTTGGTAAGGATATGGAGGAACGGGAACTCTCATACACTGCTGGTGGGAATGTAAAATGGTACAACTGCTTTGGAAAAGAATTTGGCAGTTACTTGAAAAGTTAAACGTATATCTACCATGTGGTCTCTCCATTCCGTGCCTAGATATTCACCCAAGAGAAATGAAAGTGTATGTTCATATGAAGATTTGTACATGAATGTTCATAGCAGCTTTATATGTAATATTCCCCAACTGGAAACAGCCCAAATGCCCACCAATAGGTGAACAGAAACAAACTATGGTGTATCTACACAAAGAAATAGTACTCAGCAATAAAAAGAAATGAACTCCTGATACATACTACAACATGGTGGACTCTCAAAGTATCTATGTTGAGTGAAAAGATCTAGACAAAAAAGAGAACATACTTTAGGATTCCATTTATATAGAATTCCAGGAAATGCAAACTAATTTATAGTTGACAGAAAGAAAATCATTGGTTGCCTGGGGATTAGGAGGAGGAATAGGAGGGAGGAATTCCAAAGGGACATTAGAAAATTTGGGAGGATGATGGATATGTTCATTATTTTGATTGTGGAATTGGTTTCGTGGGTGCATACATATGTTAAAACTTACCAAACTGTACACTTTAAATATGTGAAATTTAGTGTATGTCAATTATAACTCAATAAAGCTGTCAAAAATAATTTCAAAAGCTGTAAATTTATCTTTAATTGCATGCAACCTGAAAAATCTGCACTAGCTGTGTCCATCCATAATTAGTAATTTTCACTTTTCCTGAACCATTTTCATCTCAGTCATTTTTTTTTAGTTGAGGTCATATTAGCTTATAACATTGTGTGAATTTCAGGTGTACATTATTATATTTCAGTTTCTGTATAAACTGCATCATGTTCACCACCAATAGTCTAGTTTTTATCTGTCACCATACACGTATGCCCCTTTATCCCTTTCACCCTCCCCTCATCTGCTTCTCCTCTGGTAACCACTAATCTGTTCTCCTTGTCTATGTGTTAGCTTCCATATGTGAGTGAAATCATACGATATTTGCCTTTTTCTGTTTAACTCATTTAGCTTAACGTATTACCCTCAAGGTCTATCTGTTGTTGCAAATTGCAGGATTTTGTCTTTTTTATGGCTGAGTAGTATTCCATTGCATGTATCTACAACATTGTCTTGATCCATTCATCCCTTGATGGGCACTTGGGTTGCTTCCATGTCTTGGCTATTGTGAATAATGCTGTGATGAACATAGGGACGCATAAATCTCTTTGAATTGTTGATTTCATATTCTTTGGATATATACCCAGTAATGGGACAGCTGGATCATATGTTATTTCTATTTTTAATTTTTTGATAAATCTCCATACTGTTTTCTATAGTAGCTGCCCTAGTTTGCATTCCCACCAGCAGTGTATGAGGGTTCCCTTTTCTTCACATTGTCTCCAACATTTGTTATTTTTTGTCTTGTTAATTATAGCCATTCTGTTGAGTGTGAGGTGATATCTCATTGTAGATTTGATTTGCATTTCCCTAATAATTAGTGATATTGAACATCTTTTCCATGTGCCTGTTGGCCACCTGTATATCTTCTTTGGAAAAATGTCTGTTCACATCCTCTACCCATTTTTTGATCCGGTTGTTCATTTTTTTGTTGTTGAGTTATATAAGTTCTTTATACATTTTGGAAATTAACCCTTTGTCAGATACATGATTTGCAAATATTTTCTCCCACTTGGTGGGTTGTGTTTTCATTTTGTTGATAATTTCCTTTGTTGTGCAGAAGCTTTCTAGTCTGTAGTCCCATTTGTTTTTCTTTTGTTTCCCTTGCCTGAGTAGACAGGGTATTCAAAAAGATACTGCAAAGACCGATGTCAAAAAGTGTACTGCCTATATTTTCTTCTAAGAGTTTTATGGTTTCAGGTCTTACATTCAAGTCTTTAATCCATTTTGAGTTAATTTTTGTGTATGGTGTAAGATAATGGTCTACTTTCATTCTTTTGCATGTGGCTGTCCAGTTTTCCCAGCATCATTTATTAGAGACTTTCTTTTTTCTATTATATATTCTTGACTCCTTTGTTAACGATCAGCTGTCTATAGATGTGTGATTTTATTTCTGAGCTCTCAATTCTGTTCCATTGATCTGTGTGTCTATTTTTCTACCAGTATCATGCTGTTTTGATTACTATAGATTGTAGTATATTATGAATTCCAGGAGTGTGATACCTCCAACTTTGTTCTTTTTTTCTCAGAATTGTTTTGCCTATTCGAGATCTTTTGTTGTTTCGTATAAATTTTAGGATTCTTTGTTCTGTTTCCATGAAAAATGTCATTGAGATTCTGACTGGGATTGCATTGAATCAGTAGATTGCTTTAGGTTATGGACATTTTTAAAAAAATTTTTTATTTACTGCAGTAACATTGGCTTATAACATTGTATAAATTTCAGGTGTACATAATTATACTTTTCTTTCTGTGTAGATTACATCATGTTCACCACCCAGATACTAATTACAACCCATCACCACACACATGTGCCGAATTATCCTTTTTTTCTCTCCTCCCTCCCCCCTCCCCTCTGGTAACCACCAATCCAATCTCTGTCTATATGTGTTTGTTTGTTGTTGTTATAATTCCACCCTCTGATTTATTTCATTTTGCATAATACCATCAATGTCCATCCATGTTGTCACAAATGGCTGGATTTCAGTGTTTCTTACAGCTGAGTAGTCTTCCATTGTGTATATATACCACATCTTCTTTATCCATTCGTCCCTTGGTGGGCACTTAGGTTGCTTTCAAGTCTTGGCTATTGTGAATAACACTGCAATGAACACAAGGGTGCATGTATCTTTACGCATTGGTGTTTTCAAGTTCTTTGGATAAATACCCAGCAGTGGAA